TATGTTATTCATATGTTAATATTAATCTTCACTTTCACCTTCTAGTTCCCATTTAATTCACTATGGACTAATAATTCTGATACGCCTGGAATGGGAATTTTCAATCCACAACAAACAGCACCAGATTATCCACTAAAAAACAGACCAATACCTCAAATACCTTCTCACGTTTTCCCCGGGATGATTCCTCCCCCAATGCCTTCCATGGGAGCACGACGTACAAACTCTGGCCAAGTTTATTCTGGTCCAATGCCTCCGGAGTATATTAATATACGCATGCCTATGATGCATCCTCAAATGATGGGATTCCCCTCACAGGTCCCAAATCCTAATATAGTTTACGACGTGGAGAAAAGACCACCAAAATCATCTGAATTATTTGATCCAAATAATCCTTCGAATACTTCTACCCCTCCAAAATACCGATTGCGGCGATAAAAGTTGTATTATTAATATTTATTACATTCTACTTTAGAGTTATTTTTTTCTGATTTAAATAATTACAATTTTTTCAATTTCAGAAAATGTAAAATAATATTTGAAATAATCAAATGCAAAAATACAAATATGAAAATTCAAATTGCAATTTTGTATTGTAGTATTTGACCACTAATAAGTATATTAAGATGATTTGGACAATGAAATTAAACGAAATCTGGTTTATAGTTATAGATTTGATGAAAATTCAGTTACTAGAGTGATAGTTGTCTAACTATTTATTGAAAGTTGATTCACCTAAACCACTATAAATTTTCTCTTTGGCTAGCACAGCCAGATTTGTGGCTTCGAGCCACAGTTATACATGCTGTTGAAGTTATCCTTAATAAAGTCGAAATGCTGAAACTAATTAAGATTTTTGTGTAACATTTAATATGCGAAATTGACGTGAAAAAAAGGGTCGAATCATTTGTTGATGGTGGTACAACCAATAAAAATGCGTAAATTTTTTATCAACTCGGCAACATAAATCCGACGCAAGAAAAAAATGTTGGGAAGATAATTTTACAATACACAAATATCACATGATCTGATCTTTTTTGCTAGAATACTGTTACAATTATGTTATAAAAATCATTAATTTCATAATTTATAATATTTTACAAATTTATAAAATCATGTGAAAAACTTGAAATATTTTATAATTATATTTTATATTATTAATTATTATATTTATTTATTTTTATATTGTTATGATTTGATATTTTACAAAAATAATCATTCCAGATGATCACTCTATGATTACTTCAAGTAATTATTCCAAGTGATCATTCCAAGCAATCATTTCAAGTGATTACTTCAAATGATCATTTGGAATGATCATTCCAAGTAATCATTTCAAATAATTACTTTAAGCAATTATTTCAAATGATTACTTTTTATTTATCAATTATTTATAAATATTATATATATCTTAGCTAGAAAAATTAGATAACATCAAAAAATTTTTATATTTAATTGCAATCAATTATAATTAATTATTAATAATTAATTATAATTGATTGCAATTAAATATAATTAATAATTAGTAATTATCTATAATTAATAATTATTGATTTTAATTAATTATTTATATTTAATTATAATTAATTAAAGTTATATTGTTATTCCAGTTCTTTTAACAATATTTATATAATAGAAAATCTTTATATGAATTTCTTTTTACAGTTATAAGAAGAATTATGAATCAAGTTAAATTTATAATTAAGAAATATATATAACAAAAATTATAGAAATAAGATAGTTTTTATTAACAAGATTTCTTTATTACTATATTTTTTACCATTGTTATCTTAGTCAACACTCTGTATATAAACCATACAAGTATATAATACAAAAATAACAATATTACTAGAATATTCCAAGTTTATAATTAAAATCAAAGAGGAATTATTAAGATAATTAACTTATTAAGATCTAAGTTCAAATCTTATTACAAACTTGCTAATTTACTATCAAGTAAAGTGCTCTTTTATATAAAATTAATTGTTATAAAAATCTCTAAATATCTATAATATTAAACTAATAAAAATTCTATAATTCAAAAGATTAATAGTTCAAAATATTGTTATTATTTTGATTAATTTTTAAAATACTCAAAGATATTTATAAGAATATTTAAAAAAAACTTCCAATATCTTAATGATAATTTAAATTATTAATAATATTTTATAACTATTAGACTGAATGTGAATAAATACTAAATATATTAGTAATAAAATTACTTAAAGATTAGTAATAATTGTATTCTTTTAATATAATAATCTGGATTAGAGATAGTGCAACAAATACATAATATTTATTTGTCACTTATTGCAATACGTTGCAACTCCAAAATTTTATAAACTGTAACTAATTGCAACTAGATGATGCTTTATTTATCATCACGTTATAATAGTTATCACACCATCTTTAATCTGAACAGCTAGAAAGAGTTTTCAAAATCTCAAAGTCAAAGATATAGAGATTATAATATTTATATTATCAGCAATACGAAATCAAAAATAAGTTTATAAGCAATATATTATTAGTAATACAATCTCAAAAACAGATTTATAAATTATAATAATAATTTCTTTATTCAATATAATATTCAATAAATTTCATTACAAATATATTCAAATAGTCTAGTATTAAGATGATAACTTTTATAATGCTCCTGACAAATGTGCTTAAGCTACTATAATATTAATTCAAGATCTATATAACACTTATGACAAAGATACTGAAGTGATTATACAAGAAACAAGAATACTTTGTCAAAGAAGTATAGAGAAAAGTTTGTACTTGATTACTTATTCTATATAAAGTGCAAATTTTGCTTATATGAATGATCAAAACTATATAATAATTAGCTATAAGATGATAATTAAGAATATTACTATCAAAGACTTGTTTTAATTTAATTCTAATAACTATAATATATATTACTTTTATATATGTTCAAATTATAATTTGTTAGCTATACAAATTCATGTTTGCTAGTTCACTTAAATTTTATTGATCCAATATTCACTTATTTATTTGTTTATTCACTTATTTATTTACTTGTTTATTTATTTACTTGCTTATTTATTTGTTTATTTTATGTAACTAGATTTTTAATAAGATATAAGATATTTATAATTCAATAATATTAAGTATAAATGATTCAATAAAATATTTGATCAAAGTTTGTTATATAATAGAATTCTTGATATTAAGATTTTGCTTCATAAAATTAAATATTCAAATATCTTTTTTTTTAATTGATTACTAGATTTTTGACTTATTTTTCCAATTGTTCCTGGAGTTAAATATTTGTCTATTCTATATGATTAAAGTATATTTTTATGATCTTTAAAATTAATAGAGTTATAAGATCAATATATCTTTTAAAGTAATATTTATAATACTAATTTTATTTTTAAATAATTATTTAAATTCAGAATGTTGTTTTTTAGATAACTTGTAATTACTAGTAAGATTCAACAGTATTCTTTCATTTTATAATAAATTAAAAATGTAATATATTTATTGTTTTTCAACAATTTTTTATAAGTTTCTAATAATTCTTCTATTATTGATAATTGTGGTAATTGTTTTACTAATTGATTATTTTTAAAAATATCATTTATAACTTTGATTATATCTTCTAAAAATGTCCAGATTCTATTCATTCTTGTCAAATTTTCTTTATGTATTGGAATTTGTTAAACTATTTTTATTGAGTTTTCAAATAATTATTTTAGTATTGTATTAATATTTGTTATCAAGAGCAGATCTAATATTATTTCTTTTTCAAAGCTAAAAAGATTAAAAGAATCTATAGTACTTGTTGTTTCTGGCTGAGTTTCAATAATATTTGTTAAAAATCTTTACTACTAATTTCTATTTGAATTTCTGAATATTATTGTTGTACTTTAAAATATAATTTATTAACTAATATAAAGATTTTATTGGGATATTTATAAAAAATATATTGAATAAGTAAAGAAATAAAATATATAACTAAAAAATGATAAAAGATAAATTAATAAATTTTTGAAGTTTTGATGATTATATATATTTTTGCTTTTTCAGGAATATAAAGTTAAAATTAAATACTAAATTAATAAGGTAAAATTTAAAAAGGAACAATAATCAAATGATTATTTATTTAAAAAATTTGGATCATAAAATTCTTTCGATAAACTATATGATCATGAATCTTTAGCATTTCTAGATCCATATAAGAGGTTAATATTCATTCCAAGTTATTCAGTATCTGCTTTTATTTAATAATTTTTCTTTAATGAATTACTATAGTTTGTTCTACAAGTTTAACAAATATGATCTCAAATTGATTTAGTTTTTCTTTGTATTGGCTGTTATTCAACAGATCTTTTAAATATAATTATATATTTATTACTTGATAATGATCAAAAAATGCTAACAATATTGTTATTTTTACTATTGATTTGCAACCAGATATCAAAAGAGATGTTGTTATTACTTGAAATTTCTGACTGATTTCTATAACTAGAAGTAAGATTATATTTTGAAGTATTATCATGAGTTTTTTCTTTATCTTTTGTTGATATTGAAATTATTTTAATATCTTCTTCATCATTTATATTGATAAAATTAATAGCATATTTTTCTTCAAAAATATATTTTTCTTTAGAAATAATAGATTTTTCTTCAAAAGTAATAGACTTTTTTTCAGGATTACAAGTATTATAATTATTATGAGTGAGTCTTTTATGATTTTTATACCAATAATAGAAACATGAATAGAGAATATATTATTGATTTTGAAATTTTTTTTCTATTTTATTTTTATATCTAATGATTTTTGCGACTTCTACACAAGATCAATATTGCTTTTCACAATATGATAATGTTTTCCAATTTTTTAATTTGCAAATGTGTGATACATAGCTAAGTTATTTTTGAACAATTCTTTTAGAATAATAGAATTTAAGATAATGATATTTTTTAGTTGAAATTAATTTTGATATTTTTGAAAAATTTTATGGTTCTCATTCCAAAGATAATATAAAATTTAACCAATTTCAAAGCTTAGTTTATTAACTTCTCAGTCAGATTAGCTAACTCTAATTTTAAATTATAATTATTAATTCTAACTTATTATTTTCAAAATATAGTTTTAAATGATCTTCATTATAGAAATTTTTCTGTTTATTATTCTTAGTTGATAGATTTTTTTATTAAGTTTTTCATGAATATAAAATAGTTCTTTTTATTTTTGTGAAAATTTTTCATGATATTAGTGCTATATTTTTATTTTTCTCATTAAGACTTTATTTCTGATAAAGAAATTTTTATCTTGTTAATATAATTCTTTTTGCTTTTGTTGAGATTTCTAAATATTCTGGTGAGCTATTATTCTATTAATTTCTAATTTATTTATTATTGTACAAGCTCACTTGATAATTTCATTTGTTGTAACTTTATTA